ACTAATTAGTTACCTCTTCAGTTGATACGAGGGATTTCTCTTCAGCGTTGTTTCCGGGGGTTAGCCGTTTCCTGAAGAGAATTACTGTCTCCGTTTTACCGGGACAAGCGTGGACACTTTTGTCAATCAGTGTTGGTTATAAATTAGTTCCTGCTAGGAGCACGTGTATGTATCAATCTGTCTAGTTTTTCTTTGGACTCTGATGCACCGTGTGCAAAAACCCGGCCACCCGTGACGACCCTGGGTCACCGACACGCTTGGACCTAATTTCACTACACAACTTTCCGAAGTACTGGCCTTTCTTTAAAACGATTAAATGTTCTCTCTGAAATAATCGAGATGTCTGCACCTGTGTCTATTTTGAAAGTGACTGATGCCCCACAGACAGGTAAAATTACTTTCCAGGCCTTCGATGAGCCGGTACTCACTGCACCTAGAAAGAATTCGTCCGAATGTTCTTGTACAACTTCATGAACATGTTTGGCTTTACAACAAACAGAAAAATTATTCAACGACTTGCATTTATTGCACCGTTTACCATAAGCAGGACATGACCCTTTTGCATGTGACCGGTTACAGAATGTACACCTTTGTCCTCCCTGCGCATGACCGTCATGCTTTTGTTTACCCGAAACTCCATATTGTTGACGTTTTTGTTGAGTAGGACGTTTCGTCCCCGACTTTTTACCTTTACTCACTGCATCGACTGATACCGACGATTGATCTTTAATCTGTGACTTGACTTGTTCCGACTGTCTAGCAATTTGTAGTGCTGTCTCTAAAGTTAAATCGGCTTTAAGCTGTAATTTCTCGGAAATTGACTTGTCCGTGATACCGATTACTAGTCTGTCCCTGATGTTATTGTCTTTCTGTGTACCAAAATCACAGTGTTCAGCCATTTCAAATAACGACCTCACAAATGCTTCAATCGATTCTGTAGGACCCTGGGACCTAGAGCTGTCCGGTTATGGGAATTGACCTTCGGTTTCGGTTTCGATTCGGTTACTTGATTAAAAGTTGATTTTCGGTTTTCGGTTTTATTCAACAATAGATCTATAACTGGTTCACAACTCGTGAGACAATAAAATAAATAACAAAATATGATATTCCAACTCAAACATGAAAGAGAAACAAAAAATATACCACCTGGTATTTCAACAAGAATGCACAAACCTATCAACAGTAACAAGACAGAAAAAAATAATAGAAAATATAACAGGTTTGGTTTCAGCTATAATGAATATGTTATAACACAGTCTGGAGTTTCAAAATTCGAAACTTGTTATGGAGCTGCAAGTGTGCAATATGGTTCAAAGAAAACAGTAACAATAATAACATAGGCAAGACTAGACTGACTAACACTTCTTGTGCCATGAATGAGTATTGAACAAAACGGTTTTTTTTAACACATCAGGGTGTTAATTTTCCTTCTCAACCAAGTCAGTACCACAGTTCACTGTCGCAGGTTATGTCCGAGAAAGGTAAGTTGCTCAGCAAAAAATGGCTCAAGACAGGATCTTCGATTGGAGATGAGACCAGATTTGCTGAACATGCGCTCGCTAGGAACAGAGGTGGCTGGTATCGAAAGAAAAACCTGTGCCAACTTTGCAAGGTTTGAGTACCTAGTCTTCTTTGTTTTCCACCAGTCGAATGGAGATTTCTCAGGTTCCAAAAGTTCCTCACTACAAAACAACTGAAGTTCATGTTCCATCTTTTCCCGTAGATTATCAGTTGAGTGCTCAGAAGCAGTCTGCTTCTTCTTATCTACCATTTTCTTGAATATTTCCCACACAGTCTTCTTTGACGTCGTAGCAGTCTCTGATGACTCAGTCGCACTAGCAGACTGCTTTTTGATGTCAGATTCACATGCACTCGGAGTTTCGATAACTTGAGGATTCTTAGCATTGTCTAACATCAGCTGCACTATTTCTTTTGCTGTCCGGTCTCTGGCTGTGTCATCATTGAACCCATAATTCTTGAACCTGGGATCGAGGTATGTGGGTATTGCAAACTCAAGCTTCATCTCATATTCAGGCCATCTGGCATTGATGTTGGCATGTATCTGCTTTCCAAAGTCATTCATTTCAACGTCTTTCATCTGCTCATTCAAAACGTGCAGGACTGGGATTATCATTGAGCTTGTAGCATATCTAGACGCAGACATCATGTTTGTTGCATCCTCAAATGGTTTCAGGGCACTTACATAACTTGCAGCGATCTTCCACTCAGATTTTTTAAGATCATTTATCTTATCGTTCGTAGCTAATACAGCGGTTACTGATTCTCTTTGCTCGACTAGTCTCTCCAGTAAATAATACAATGAATTCCACCTTGTTGGGCATTCACTCTTCAGACGATGCACAGGCACACCCAATGATTTCTGCTTCTCAGCAAGGCTGTGTGTATCCTTTGCGCTTGCATGAAAATGTTTAGTGATAACTTTAGCCTTCGCAATTACTTTTTCAAGCCCGAAGAATTTCTTGACTGCATCGTTCACAGCAAGTTGTAATGTATGAGCAAAGCAATTGAGAGGAACGAACTTAAAAGATGGAAGTTGTCTCATAGCTGCTTGCACATTTGATGCATTATCTGTCACAACATAGATCTTCAATGTCCTTTCGTTATAATCTGGGATCCATACGTCGAGGCAGGAAAGTAGAGCTTCAGATATGTTCACTGCTGTGTGTGATTCAGGCATATGTGCAACATTTAAGCAGTAGTCACTGATGGTGAAGTTATCTGATAAGAAGTGAGCGGTCACTGCCATGTAGGCATCTTGTGCTACTGAGGTCCAATGATCTAGAGTAATGCCCAAGGACACACAATCCTTCAGTTTTGGTTTTATCACTGACGATTGCTCCATATATGCCTTTGGAATTAATGAGTCTCTTATGACCTTGCGATTTGGGATATTGTAAGCTGGCTGAAGGCAATGAATGAATTCACGAAAACCCTGGTCATTTACGATGCTGACAGGCTGAAGGTCAATACATATCATTTCAATCTCTCTGTCTCTTGTCCGGAGAGCCCCACTTTTTGTCCTGTAGGAAAGGCACCATTTTTGTTTGTTTACTTGATGTTCCTGGGGATTCGCTGGGGACTGCTTCATCCTGGAACGAGCAGAATATTCCCAATTATAGGTAGGGCCTATAATATATTTGAAATATGAATTCAAATTTAAATTCAAACAATCCATCTATTTACTCTCCCATTCATTCATAAATCTTTTAATTTAATTCATTTTCCAAATATTTTTATCTTCTTTTTTTTATCTATTTATCTTACTTTATTAGGGATCGTGATTATTATTCCCATATATTATTCATGTCTGGGTACGTCTCTTTAAAAGTGTGGCCATTTCAAAACGATCTCTCAAAAGAAAGCTTTTATTTCCGCATGCATTTGATCGTTCATATAATCCATTTTATGAAAACGGCCCCGTGTACTTTAGACTGCAAGAAACATTGCCCGAAAGTCTGTATTATTAGGTAACTTGAGTTGAACACACGACTGTTTTTTTTTTCTTAGAAACTTACCTTCAATTTACGCTTCAGCGATGCCTTCTCTTCGAGAGCTTTTTTCAGCTGTACTGCTTCGGTTTTATGCAAAGTTTCGATATGTCGCGTGAGATTGCTGGTATTACCATAACGTGCTGCAACCTTTTTACCTCCCGGGCATAATTTACATTTAGCGAATGTTTCATTTTTTCCTAGTTTCTCGAAATATAGCCACACAGGACTGCTTTGCTTGACGCTGCCCGCCATAACCACGTTGTTACTGTTTATACCGAAAGTACGGTTATTTGTGCGCATGCTCGGTTCGTATTTCCGGTTTTTTGAGACTACCGATATCGAGTTGCCTTTTCGGTTAACCGGACAGCTCTAATGTCCATAGAGTATGATAGACTACTGTCTGTACACCCTAACATAGATCGTCGAAAAATCGCGTTTAAAATTTCTGTAATGCATTAACTGCTTCAAAATTTGTATTTTCTGATAGGATTCCACGAGTCATAACTCAACTAAATATAATTGAATCTTTCAGATAAAACGTGAAACAAAAATATTTTCTTCTGAGACTACTAACGAAAACGGCCCAAATGTGTAACGTTATAACGTTGTCGGCAATGGCGGATTTCGGTGGAGAATTTACTAGTCTCAAAGAAGGAAACATTTTTAATACTGAATTTTTTAAAAAAAAAAAAAAACCTGGCAATATTCAGTTACGACTCAGCCTCTGAGAGCCACTGATCTCTCAATTTTTTCAAACAATGCACCAGTATTTTTTTAATCGCGATTTTTCGGAGTCCTATGTTTGGGTGTACAGACAGTAATGTAGATAATTTATGTGCCCTTCTTTAATTCTTAAACTTGGATCTCTTTCCATTTCAGGCAAAAAAGGCCACAACCCAAATGACCCAGGTTATGTACCAAGCATTTTTCCATTTAATAAGGAAGTAATGCCAAGGACAAGCAGAAATTCCAGTCAAAAGTGTGTGTCGCCACTGAAATCAGATGCACAGCCTACATGTATAGGTCTTCAACACAAAAGGAAAAGACGCCTTTCATTTTCAAATGTTTCATCACAAGGCAGATCTGTAAAGTCTGAGGTAAATATACAATGTACCCCCCACCCAATTGGACATGACTACATCTGTACGGATTTTATTGGAATGAGTGATGAGATTTTAAAATATCTGCCTGAAATTGAAGAGAAAATGCGACAGTTGGAGGAATTGGAATCAAAATGTGAAATATATAAATCTCAAATTTTGGATTTAAATGCTGTCAAGAAAGATCAAAAACAGCTTCAGTTTTGGACAGGTTTTCCAAATTTTGAGACATTTCTATCATTGTATGAATTTCTAGAGCATCGTGAAAAACACATGCAATACTGGAAGGGAAAACTTACTAATAGCCGAGAACATTTCTCAAAAACAAATAATAATAAGCCTGGTCCAGAGAGAAAACTGACATTGATGGAAGAAATTTTTCTTGACAATGGTAAGACTGAAAGGTGGTTTGCTGACAGAGGACTTAGCTAAGCGCTTTAATGTGTCCACAGGAACTGTGTCATCAATTGTGACCTCATGGATAAATCTCATGTATTTAGATTTGAAGTTATTATGTGAACTTCCTTTCAAGAAAATTGCATGTGCTAACCAATCATCAGCTATAGGCTCCTTTTCTGATGTGCGTGTAATTCTGGATTGTACCGAACTTTTTGTTCAAAATCCTAGTAAGCTGGATGCTCGTAAACAACTATTTTCAAACTACAAACACCATATTACATACAAATTTCTAGTGGGAATTGGTCCTCAGTTGGGTATCACTTATGTCAGTAAGATGTATGGCGGAAGAGCCTCAGACAAATACATTACATCTGACTCTGCCGATTTACTTATAAATCTGGAGAAGGAAAAGGGATCAGTAATGACTGATCGTGGCTTTTTAGTGGAGGGAATTTTAAGTGACATGGGTGTCAAACTCATTATGCCAGCATTCAAAGGAGCAGATCGTCCACAGCTAAGTGCCGAAGAGACTAAAACTTCCGAGAGTATATCTCGTGTCAGAATACACATAGAGCGTGCCATTCAAAGGATTAAAACTTACCATATTTTTGATGGAGAATTGAAATTATCGATGAAGGATATTGCTGAACAAGTTTTCACTGTTTGTGCTTTTTTAGTGAACTTCCAAACTCCAATTGTCAAGTCTGGACCCTAATTAAAAATTTTATTAGTGTGTTCCCTCTACATGTATAATGTATATATAGATATATAGGGCTGGGTTAGCATTTTGTTGCAGACATGCTATGACTGTCAGAGTTTTGCAAATTTATGATACATGTACATATGTACATTATGTACAAACTAGAATTTACATTTATTATATATTGTGTTCTGCATTATAAACTAAGATATATGTATATGTAGTATACATGACCTATACATGTATATATGTACAATGTATGATTCCACATGTATATTTTTCATGTTCTTTGGCTATGATTTTAAGTTTTCTTTTGAATTTATGAGATCTTTTTATTTGCACATGTAAATATTTAATAATGAAACCATTTGTATATGCTTCCTGCATATAAGAGTACATGTACTGCATACCATTTATATGCATGAAGGATGACTAGTACTGTAGTGCATTTTCTTGTACATCTACATGAACATGTATGCTTATAACTGATGATTAAATTTCATGTGTAAATAAACATTGTTTGAAAATGTTGATGAACATCTTTGTGTTTATAATATTTATTGGCCAGTTGGCTTCGAGCATATTTTCTAAGGTCAATATGAATGGTATCATGGGCACAGGGCACAATCATATATCCTGGATATATGATTGTCAAACAGCTGGAGTAAAATAATTTGAATTAGAGTGCAACTTTGGATCTAGCGAACTTTAAGCTGAATATACTGCACTGTAAGAAATATTACGACCATGTCTTGCTGTTGTCCTAGTATTATAGTTATCGGTAGTTTGTTGTGGATATATATGGTTGTTCAACTTCAAAAGGTGAAAATTGGCTGAATCTGTGACAGACTTTTATATTTCAATTTTGCTGATAAGTATGTGTACATGTGTATTTCTTTTTAATAATATTGTTCAAAAATTTTTTCATACATTGGAAGTCAAATAGAAACAAGTGCATACACATGTACACTAATTGTCACTAATTTATATTAATAATCACCTTTTGAATATATAATTGGTTCGAATTCATAAGTCTAGTGTAGGAAACAACCGTCCGTTATCCAAAAAGCATAATTCGGTATGAAACAATGGCATAATCGTTAGGAATTGTTCAGCATGAGACATCGCGGACTCTCAACAAAATTGAGAGTGACGATAGGTGCCCGGGAAGAGTAAACACGTCCTGTTGTGGCTACGCACCCGCCATGAAATCTCAAATGCCCAACCTCTTTGTTCGTCTTCAGCTACAAGCCTACACAATTTAAATTTGATCCTGTATACTTTCTGCAGCATATATTCGATACATACATATACATGTACTATGTTCACATTAACAGCATTTTTTTCATATATGTAGAAATACCCCAAGTCTTATAACGAATAAAAATCCTTGATGTATATTGTATATATACATTTTCAGTTTTTCACAATTACATTATATACATTTGCATACATGTATGCTTTAATTTGCTGGAAAAGTATTTGCCTAGTGTGAGTAAAGTACATGCATATGTACATACATGTAATTGTATACACATGTATAATACTATGAAAGTAAAAAAAGAAACAGAAGAATATGTCATCAAGTCATACCATACATTTAATTTTTCTCTATTATTGGAGCAATATTTCATTAACCATACATTGTATCTGGTCTGTATACATACATGTACATGTTAACTTTAATATTTGTACTCAAAACATCAATATATATATATATATCAGGGTTGCAGATTAACAGGGGCCCAGTAGCCCAATACCCCTAACTTTTGGCCTGGGTGCCTAAAAATTAAAAGACAGGATCCCAGGTGGCTACTTAAAAATCTTGTATCAAAGCTGCATTTTATAGGGTCCCAAAGATATTAATGTGGACTATAATGTCTGGGGTACGTACATGATAATTGAGCATGATGACGTGACAAGATTTGCAGCAGGCTAAGTTTACGGGCATATTCCATCCACGCCAGGGACTTACAATCTTACGACTTTTCATGGTGCGCCAGAGGATTGCATCCTACTGCAAATCATATCAGGTCTGTCCTTCAAAAGGAAACTTAGTTGAAAATGTATACTATAATACATTTTTGTTTTGTACAGGCCCATATACCAAATTTTCAGATATATTATCAATTCTGCTTTGACCAACCACACATCTTCCTTTATATAAGTGAAGCAAAAACAATATATTAACATATACATTTGTACATGTAACATCATTATATTTGGATTCAAGATTATGATCAGATGACTAAAGTACAATGAAGAATACATGTATATCTAATAAAGCAGAACTAGCAATGCAGTAACATAGCAGAACTGTTATTTGTGCAATTATATATGAAGTGAATTATTTCTATTTTATGATATATTTTAAAGTCAATACAAGAGCGCCTGCCTAGCTATACATACATGTACAAGTAACTAGCTAGAATTCTTTTGATAAAAACTGTACATGTTGTAATTAATAATTACATGTACATGTACCAATAAAAAAGTGGTCCCTATTGACATTATTATTGACACAATATATAATGGATCAGAATCACATTTTATAATGTTTTGGTCACTGGTAAAATCCATTTTGCAGGAGCAGTAAATCTCTTTGTGGATGAACATTTCGACATTTTACACAAACATAATGTGGGAAATCGTCAATTTCTGACTGAATTCTACGAAAGCCTTCACAAAACAAGTGATACCATGTACTTGGACCACATACCAAATTGACATCACAAGCAATTAATTGACCTTTGACCCTAGAGAAATTTGGTGCACGGGCATCTTTGCAGGAATCATTGCAACCTAATGTCCATTTGTCACAAGTAGTAGTACTAGTACATGTAGTACTTGTAGTGTTGCTTGAAGTGCATATCACCTCACTGTCCATTGTGACTGGTGTTTCATCCTGAACCTCTTGGACACGTGTTGCTTCATCGTCTGATTCTGAAATACTGTCACCATCATTTTCATTTTCTGATCCTCCGTCTGGGTCAACGTCATTTAGGACATTTTCACATATATCGTCCAAGTTTAATTTCAGACCTCTCTGTACTCGTTTTGTTAAAATCTCTGCAACAATGTAGCTTTTGAAGAACTCTTTTAGAGCAGGGAGCAAGTCATTTTCCCAATAATTATACTGATATGGAACATCAATAGTCAAATATCCCCTTTTGCTCCAAATCAACATTTCTGCTTTGGGTTCTCCTGTTATGGCCTGTTGTAAAGTTATTTGTTCCAGATAACCCCTGCTTTGCTGTTTTTCAAAACAAGCTTGCCATTTTCAGTTTTGATATAATCAAGTCCATTATTACTGACCACATCCTCAATCTTGTCATTCCTAAATTTATAGGGACATTTCACTTCTACAAGCTTACTGCCATGACATCCACAGGAAACTATAACATCTGGACTGACTCTAATGTAAGCATATTCAGGATGAACAATCAACCCTGGCCTCATTATTGTAACATCAGAATGTGACTTCTTCATGTCATTCACATATGCTGTAAGTGGAGTGCTCTCGTGCTTCAGCCCCCACGCTAATGCAGGTACTTTCTGTGAGATATTTTTGTCAAAATTGTGCTGCATAATTTCTTTAACTATGGGCTCAGGATTTGAGGTCTTGTGTTCAACAAAGGACAGAATTTTCCTCACTTTGCTACCTGTTATGCTGCCTTTTCTTTGCTCAAACCACTCATCTGAGTTTAACTGATCTTTAGTTAAAGCTTCCACCAATGCTCTATCACTTTCTGACAACTTCAATTGTTCTAGAAATCTTTCTTTCTCAAATTCAAATCATTATCAAGAATGGATGAAAATTCTTTGTGTGGGAATTTGCATACTGTTAATGGATGAGTTGATACATTTACTGTCATGCAGGGTGGCAAGTTGAAATCCAAACATTCATTTGGCAGCTCAGTATGAATAATTGGCACTGGTATTTTTTTATGGCCTAAAACGCTCCAAGTCTACAATGTTCACAATGGGCGGCATAGCAGATGGCGAGTTTGCATTCCGGATATCATATAACAGTTTCAAAATTCTTTGATAGTTTTGATCATTAGTTAATGGGGGAGCAACCTTAAGTGCATAATTTTTTTACAGTTGGTTTGTGACTTGAATCTTTGTTACCAATCTGAATGTCTTCAGCAAGCTTCGGAAGAACTTGAGCTCCTTTAGGGGCATACCATGGACACAACACATCAGTACATGATTTGTCGTCAGGAAAATGTGTCTCACCAACCGAAATCAGGTCACACAGAAGGAATAACAGTGCCCCTATATGGGAACAAGCTTGTCCTCTTCTGAAATGTAGAAAAGAGCATGAATAAATACTTGTACATTGTTTGAAATAAGTGATCTGGAATAGAAATAAAGAATTATAAATGTATACCGATACTTATCAATAATTTACACATGCATGTTTATTAACGGTTCTTCTTTCTCCTTATCAAAACTATCAATTCATAGTGTTAAATTTTTTTATTGTAGATAATGATGAAGTACATTTTACTTTTATTTTTTTGTTTACTAAATGACTCTATATCTTTAAGGATAACCAACTAAAAAAAATAAATTTTAAGGATACCTGACCCATGATTCTATGTGTATTAAATCCTAAATTTTAAGGATGAATCACCCAGTCATAAGAGTTACCAAGAAATTAGGGCTTATCAAAATATAGTCATACTGAACATCATAAAACATCTTAATAAAGTATGATACATAGCAAAGCAAATTGACTGTAGGAAAATCAGACTGTAGGAAAATCAACAAGTATATGTTATACACACTGAAGAAAACTAGCAAAATGTTAATTATGTCTCTAAATATTCCTTAGCACTGTGTCCACACTGAGTACAAAACTGGCACTGAGATCGGGGGGATTTGTGTCCATTTCTTGTCCAGTTACACTTGTGACGGAGATGACCATCAGTACTGTCACACTTATAACATCGCCGTTTTTGGTCACGTTTCCTGTCAAAATCAGGGGCAGGGGGCTCCTTGGACATCTCCAATTCCGCAATACGTTTTTGTAGGTCTTTTATTAAAGATGTTATCTCCAGATCCTTACTGTCTGGCTTCGGAGAAACTGCACTAACAGAGTGAGATGTCTCGTCATTCCGATATCCATGAGCTTCCCCTATCTTGGCGGAATGTAAAGCCTCGCGTAATGTCATAGGGCGTCCAGCCCTGACAAAAAACTGCAGTTTCGATGGTAGGCCCTCAATGAAAGTAAACATCATGTCTCTTTCCGATTTTGCGAGTCGTCGCCCTTTGTTGACAATACTTGAATGGTAGTCCTCGATAGCCTGTGTTGGGCGTAGGATGAGGCGGTGAAAAGTAGCCTCTTCTGCTATAAGTGCAGGGTTATGTTCACTTGTGAACTCCCTTTCAAATTCCTTACACAATATGGGAAAGGTAAGTTTATGAATGGAGTCAAGGGCATTATACCACACAAGGGCGGGGCCTTGCAACTTCAAATGGAACGAGGCAAGAGCCTGTGGAGATGATGGGTCAATATTAGCCAAAGTCAAATAGGACAAAAAATCTTGCAGAAACTTTGAAGCATCCTCGTCCATATATCCCGAAAAACGGATGTTTTTGCAGTGGTTCATGTCAATGACAGAGTTCACAACAACATTGGGTTTAACGGGAACTGGCATGTGTGTACATGTATCTGTAGAAACAGGTCGTTGAGTAGCTTGTTGACCCATAAAATGATGATCACCTGGCATAGAATAACCAGTCCTATCAAGGGTCGTGTACGCTTCATCACCACCTCTATCCCGGAGGGAATGTAAATCGTCCATGGATGTAGGACCCAACAAGACACGATCGCGATGAAACGGGGTACTAGAACAGTTTGGAGTAGGGTTCTGGGGCAAATTACGACCTGGAATGTTCATTCTGAGTGTCCCTTAGATTCCCATGAAAATGTCACAAAAAATAAATGGCGACATTGAGTGATGGGGCTGTCTGATCACGTGACTGGTATAGCTCGAAATAGGTCGGCGTGGCGCAGTTTGTCAAAGGCTCAAAGTTCATTTGATACAGATAAATACAACACTTCATGCATATATTCACGCTTATCGTGTTATGTTTGTTAACAGGTTAATGTTCAGGGATCACACTAGCACATGGTTAACCATCTTGGAACTACTTTTTATTCAACGCACAACGTAGTACACTATACACATATTCATACGCATGGCGTGACCAATACGTAGAGTAGGCATGCACATTATCCGGATATAATATACAACATATCCTCCCTTCCATTTTAGAAAGTAAAATTATTTGGTACAAAAGAATTACTTGACCAATGTCACTTTACCAATGTCCAAATTGAATACAAAGTTCAAAAGTGTTGTACTTTTAACAGTAAGATATAGTGCTGATAAGATCACTAGTAATTAGATATAATAAGCATGTTTAACTCTCAACAATGATAAACAATTTAACTTGAAGTCAGAACAATAGAAAACAATTCAAAAAGTAAACAGTTCTTTTAACTACAGAACCTTTGGTCCTGATAATCACACAGGGATTATTATGCCCTTTTTTTTTTTGCACGTGTGATTACACTATCACTAAACACTAAACAGTTCATTAAACACAATAACAGTTACTATTCACAGTCTCAGACAACCTTATAGGTCTAGTCTCTTTGGTGCTCGCCGCTCCCTTGTCGGATACCTGGGTGCCTGCTGAGGCTTCGTCTCCAAGGGTTCCCTGTTAGTAACACGCGCCTTTACTGGGGTTGGGTCCACAGTACTAGTAGTTTCCGTATTCTTAGCAGAGATCTGTGTTGGACTCTCTACACTCATGGGTACACTAGTAGTAGTACTCTGTGTCACGATCGGGTAATCCATGCGAGACATTTCTTCACGACATTGTACCGAGGTAGATCGCATTTGATCGACATGTCGACGCCATATTGATCCTTCTACGGTCTCCACTTTATATGAGAGCGGGCCCAGTTGAGAATGGATTGTGGCACGGACCCATGGTAGATTTCCACGGTAGTCCTGGACCATGACTGTTTGTCCTGTAGTGAAGTTTCGGACTTCACTTCCTGTATGTTTGGAAAGTTTCATCTTTTCCTGGTTCCTTTCCACACGCTGTGTCATATCCGGCTTAAGTATGTCCAGTCGGGTACGAAGATTTCTACCAAGCAAGAGTTTGGCAGGGGTCTCACCTGTAGTGGTATGTGGAGTATTTCTGTAGAGACACAGAAACGTGCTAAGTCGTTGGTGTAAGGGTTTTCCTTCCTTCCTCATAGCGTTTTTGAAGCTTTGCACAAATCGTTCGGCAAGTCCGTTGGTACGGGGATGATAAGGTGAAGAGGTAATGTGTTTGATACCATTTCCCTGTAGGAAATCTTTAAACTCTTCAGAAACAAACTGAGGTCCATTATCAGTCACCAACTGTTTTGGTAAACCGTATCGTGCAAAGGTGTTCCGTAAGACATCAATAGTGTGACTAGATGTTGTAGAGGCCATTCTGACAACTTCTGGCCATTTCGAATGAGCATCAACCAGTATTAAGTACATATGTCCTTTAAAAGGTCCGGCAAAATCTGCATGTAACCGTTCCCATGGTGATGATGGGAAGTCCCAGGGATGTACTGGTGCTGTTTTTGGTTTCGCTAAGTGATGCTGGCACTCGGAGCACGTAGCACACTGGTTTTCGATATCAGAGTCAATGCCAGGCCACCAAACATAAGATCTGGCTAATGATTTAGTCCGCACAATTCCTGCATGCCCCTCATGGAGTTCCGCAAGGACCTTGTCACGAAGTGAGGGGGGTATAACGACTCTATTGCCAAACATAAGGCAACCTTGGTGTGAGGTAAGTTCTTGTTGTCTGTTTTTGTAAGGTTTGAATGACTCACTTTCGGGTAACGATTGACCTTGATTTACCAAGTCTAGTACCTGAGATAAGATAGGATGACGGCTGGTATCTCGACGAATCTGTGTTTCAGAGACGGGTAGTTTCTCAACTTGTGTTGTATAGAAGATTGCGTCAGGGTCTGGAGGTTCCTCTTTTTGTGACGTCAGTGGTAGACGAGAAAGTGCGTCGGCGTTGCCATGGTCATGTGTGTTTCGATATATAATCTCGTAATTATGTCCAGCTAAGTAAATAGCGTATCTTTGGAGACGTGACGCGGTCATTGTTGGTACGGATTTTTCAGGGTGAAATATTCTTACTAGAGGTTTATGGTCAGTGATGAGTGTAAAGTGTCGACCATAGAGGTAGGTGTGGAATTTCTGCACACTCCAAAAGATTCCTAATGCCTCTTTATCAATCTGAGAATACGCACGTTCACTTTTTGACAGTGACCTTGATGCAAAGGCGATCGGACGTTCGGACCCATTCTTGAATACATGTGATAAGACACATCCAAGGCCATAAGGTGAAGCGTCGCTTGCCAGACGGACAGGCAAGTCAGGGTCATAATGACAAAGTACTTCATCTGACACGATAAGTTCCTTAACCTTAGTGAAAGCTTCCTCACACTGTTCTGACCATTTCCATCCATCAGCGTCGTTTCCAAGGAGATTGTTCAATGGGGCAATGATGGTTGCTAGGTTAGGTATGAACCGGTGGTAGTAGTTAACAAGTCCAAGAAACGACCTAACTTGTGATACGTTCTCAGGTCGTGGAGCATCTACCACAGCTTTCACTTTGTCCGCAGATTTGTGTAGTCCCTTTTCATCTATCTCATGACCACAGTAGTTAATTTTTGTCTTGGAAGAATTGGCACTTCTCCAGATTAGCACGTAACCCGTGTTTCGATAATCTTTCCAGCACAGTATTTAAGTTCTGTAAATGTTCACTATCATTTCTCCCTGTGATGATCATGTCGTCCAGGATACAGTTTGTGTATGGAATGTCTTGGAGTAACTGGTCCATAGCTCTTTGCCAGATTGCGGGTGCAGAGGCTATTCCGAATGGCAATCTGTTGTATCGGAATAGTCCCTTGTGAGTATTTATTGTGAGTAATTCACTGGTAGTGTTGTCAACTTCCATTTGTAAGTAGGCCTGTGTTAAGTCTATTTTTGTGAACTTCTTTCCACCAGATAAAGATGCGAATATATCTTCTATCCTGGGGAGAGGGTACTGTTCAATGTTCATAACAGGGTTTAGTGTCACTTTGTAATCCCCACAGACCCTGATCCGACCACTTGACTTTACTACTGGTACAATTGGGGTTGCCCAATCTGAAAACTCGATAGGGGAGATAATCCCTTCGTTTTGAAGACGTTCAAGTTCCTCCTCTACTTTTGGTTTCAACGCATATGGTACTTGTCTTGCCTTGACAAATTTTGGGTGTGTGTTGTCGACAAGTGATAGTTTAGCCACAGTACCTTTCAGTTTCCCTATTCCTTCAGAAAATATTTCCGAATAGTTTTTTAGCATGGACTTCAACTGAGTATTGGTGTCCAAAGTAGGATTAGACTTGACCCAGTTAATCTTGACCTCGTGCCAATCCAGTTTGAGTTGTTTCAACCAGTCACGTCCAAATAATGTAGGGCCATTTTGTGCCACAGCATAAACATCCAGTTGTTTTGTCTGATCATGTAGGTTAACATTAAACTTGACAGTACCAAGCGGTCTGATCTGTTCTCCAGAGTAGGTTTTGAGTCTCACATTTGTATCCTTCAGGCTGTATGCTGAGAAATGTTCATCTAGTTTTGATTTCGGAATGATTGTAACAGCTGATCCCGTGTCTAGCTCCATGGCAACTGATTTACCATTAAGGGTAGGGCTAATGATGATAGGTTCCACTGATTTAGTGTTGACACTGTTCACACAAAAACTTGTGATATGATATATTGGATCAAGGTCATCATAAGTTTCCTCTAATTGTACACACTTAACACCCTTTTCTTTGTCGCGTTTCTTTTTCAGACAAACCGACTCGATGTGACCCTTTTTGGAGCAGTAAAAGCATGTGCTGTCTCTGTGTGCACAATTCGTTCCTTGATGATCCCTTCCACATCTAAAACACTTTCCCTTGAATTTATTTGTACTTGATTTGTGTTGGTTGTGCTGGCTAGGGTTGGAGGAGTTACTTCCCCTTCTCTTATGTTTACTGTTTGCACCGCGGTAATTTGATACTTTGTTTACACTTTCCGTGCGACCTCTCTGACCTTGTAGTTCAACAGCATCGCGGCCGGCTGTCTCCATTGCCACCGCTGTTTTTAGGGCTTTATCCAATGTCAAATCCGTTTCAGCTAATAAGCGGCGCTGAATGTTCTCTTTGTTTATACCACACACGAAGCGATCACGTAAGGTAGTGTCTAGGGTATCCCCAAAATTACAATGAATAGACAGTTTCCTGAGCTCGGCAATATAGTCCATAACACTCTCGCCCGAGTTTTGTTCCCGTTTATGGAACCGGAATCTTTCAACTATTTCGGATGGTTTGGGGTTGAGGTGATTACTTAGTAGCGTGACGATTTCAGCATACGTTTTGTCTTTGGGTTTTTGCGGGGTAACTAAGTTTTTTAGTAGACCATATGTTTTCGCACCCAGGAGGCTGACCAACGAGGCTACCTTCACTTCATCTTTCACGCCGTTCGCTATGAAATATTGTTCGACCCTCTCAATGTACGATTCCCACGGTTCTGTGGTATCATCGTATGGATCTACCTTACCTATGGCAGTTGTTGCCATGTTGTGTACTGTGCCAGTCAGTTCCACGATCCTCGTCGCCAGTTGTTATGTTTGTTAACAGGTTAATGTTCAGGGATCACACTAGCACATGGTTAACCATCTTGGAACTACTTTTTATTCAACGCACAACGTAGTACACTATACACATATTCATACGCATGGCGTGACCAATACGTAGAGTAGGCATGCATGACACATTCATCGCATTGACGTATAAATTTGTGTGTATTTTCATACAATGTTGCTCAATGTTATGAACTTTTCCCAAGAGTGTTATGACTCAATCTTGTGGAGACATTATGGATTCAAACACGTTTTACAATCCTACTCCGCTATCCATTCTGCACATTGGCCATGATCTTGATCCACAATTCATCCAGACACCGCATATGGAGGGACAGAATTTTAATCCGGCCCACGTTCCGGGTCGAGGTATTGAGGAACAGAATGTTTGAATGGTCCCCATTCCAGCTCCACAATCGTGTGGTCCTACGTTCATCATTCGAGATGTACCCGTGCCTGACAAACATCTGCGTTTTTCTGGATATAACAGCAGTGCCTTTCCCTCCCAAGTCTTTGAATGTGAAAACAACAACGATGAAAGATCGTTAAGACTTGGCTGTTAATAACAGTGTTGATGACTCTTTAAAGAGCTGGTCTTTTCATCAACCATTCGGTCGAATTGTCGCTAAAAACTGTAATTCAATCAAAAACATTTCGTCCGCAGCTGTTATATTTTATATTTGATTAACTTTGTATTTTTTAGAGTTCATTTCTGTAAATGTGTTGAGTTTTCTCACTGGATTACTCAGATTATAACAACAAATTGAATCATCATAGCTGACATCTTTATTCCCGTCTCGCTCTCTCTACCGTGCGCATGCTCAGGGAGCATACCGTACAACAAATTGGCGGGGGGGGGGAATAAACTCCAAACTTGGAAGTTATTTTCAACCATGTCCATAAACATTGAACTTGTAACTAAAAACTTATTTGTAGCCATGTCCATAAAATAAACAACCCATAGAAATTTAACTCGTGCACGAAATCGCGATAATAATGAAATCTGATTTTAACAAAGTTCACTTTAAAGTAACTTTAAAGTCATCAAATTTTGAAGGAAGTCGGATGATCCTTGACGGACGTTCTTGACGCTCCAGGACTGATTTGCTGAACTCTGGTTCATGTTCCTGGTTCCTGGTTTCTGGTTCCTCAACAAGAACAGTGGGCCGATATACAGTAATAGGAAGACCAGTATCACTTCCATTCGCACCTCTCTCCTCATATTTCTTTACTTTGGAAATGTTCCTCTTATATTCACCTTTTTCATTCTTGTCAACCACCATGTTGCCTGTACGGGCAACCACCAGATAAGGGTTTTCCTCAAATGTAGGAGTAAGTTTGTTGTGTCTGTCCTGTTTCATGAGTACTGTGTCACCAGTATTGACATCCCTAATTTTAGCATTTCTGGATTTGTCCGCATATATCTTGCCCTTTCCCTTTTGTTCATTGTCTCGATCGCGGATGTCTAAATCGTCTCTGGAATAATCCTCAATGCCGGGTAACCGTGTTCTTAATTTACGTTTGAAGAGAAGTTCTGCGGGGCTCACACCTGTCACTGTGTGAGGAGTTGTGCGATAACTCATTAAATAATTGTCAATTTCCACCTTCCAGTTTGAGCGATTCTAATACGTTTAAGGAGCGACTTGTTCTGCCTCTCCACTTTCCCATTGGCTTGAGGCCAAAGAGGGGTCACGCGTCTATGTTCTATTCCTTGTTCAGCAAGGAAATCAGCGAATGAGTCTGCAATAAACTGAGGACCGTTGTCAGTTGTGATACTTAACGGTAATCCGTGTGTGAGAAATATTTTTCTCAAGCTTTTGATGATCCGCTCAGTGGTAGTACTCCGCATTGTGTCGACCTCAAAGTATCTACTAAAATAATCCACGACTACAAAAAGATAGTCACCAGATGGCAAAGAAATGAGATCGGCTGAAACATGTTGCCATGGACCCGTTGGTAGTTCAGTTGGTTTTGTTGGTTCTGGTGCCTGAGGTTGGCTTACTAACTGACATGCATGACATGTTTTACAAAATCGTTCTGCGTCTCTGTCTATTCCAGGCCACCATACTTTAGTCCGTAGACGGCGTTTCATACAAACAATCCCTGGGTGTCCCTCATGGGCTACCCCAATAACCATTCCACGTAAGGTCTCGGGAATGAGAATTCTTGTTCCCCTTAGAACTAGCTGTCCTACAATACACAGCTCATCTCTGAGAGGTAAATAATGTTTGTTTTCCAACTTGTGCCACTGCTTACTGCGAATACATTTTCTTAACTGTATGAGGTCCAGGTCTACAGCTGATGCCTCTTCAATTTCCCTTGTAGTCAATGCCCGGGGTGTTACATGCTAAGCCACAAATCTGATGTACTCCTCTGCATAATTGAACTGGTATTCATCAGTTATGTTGGAGTTATTTCCCTTGCTCTTGTCATCTATAAGTCTAGATAGAGTGTCAGTCACATTTTATGGTCCAGGTATATATTTCATTTTGAACCGGTAGGGCTGGAGTCGTAAAACCCATCGGTGAATCCGAGCACTTGATTTGCCTGTGTATGTAGCAGAATAAATGCATTCCAGTGGTTTGTGGTCTGCATGTAATTCGAACTCTGTTCCATATAAGTACATATGTAGACGTTCACAAGCCCACACTACCCCTAGAACTTCTCGCTCTGTCTGTGAGTATTTACGTTCGGTCGTGGTCAGACTCTTACTAACATAGCATATGACATGGCGTTCTCCGTTTTGTTCTTGTACAAGTACAGCGCCTAATCCCACAGGACTTGCATCAGTGATCAGAACTGTTTTTGTATTTCTATCAAAATAACCCAAAGTTTCTGTATTTGCCAAATGACCTTTCAGCTCTCGAAATGCTGTTTCCTGGGAATCCTCCCAGATAAATGGTTCTCCTTTCTTTGTGAGACGGCTCAGTGGTTCAGCCATTGTAGACAAATTAGGGATAAATCTCCCCACATAGTTGACTAGTCCCAGAAAACTTCTTATCTCCCCTGGGTTATTGGGTCGTCTAGCCTCAATCACAGCTCTTACCTTTTAAGTGTCAGGACCAATCACGCGAGCTGAGAGTAGGTGTCCAATGAACATTTGTTCAGACATACGGAATTGACACTTGTCTGGATTTATTGTCAAACCTTTTTCCTGTATGGTCTTAAACAGAGACTCTAGCCTTGCGTCATGTTCTTGCACAGTAGGGGCATGGACGATAATCTCATCAAATATGTTGCGCACACCTTCACAACCTTGTAGAGCTTGCTGGATCACACGTTGATACATTTCTGGGGCACATGATATACCAAACATCAAGCGTTTATAGCGATATAATCCCTTGTGAGTCACAAATGTTGTTATCGAACGTGATGCTTCATTAAGTTCGATTTGGTGAAAAGCTAACTTAATGTCCAGCTTACTGAATACAGTGCTTTGATTCAGGTCATACAGTACTTCCACCACTGTAGGAATAGGGTGTCGTTCCCTTATAATTGCTTCGTTAGACCTTCTCATATCCATACAAAGTCGAATATCTGTATCTCCCTTGGGAACTACCACCACTGGTGACACCCATGGTGTTGGCCCATTTGCTTTTTCTATAATGTCAAGCTTCTCCAGCTCATCAAGTTTGTTTTCTAATTTCTTTCTCAAGTTAAATGGAATTCTTCTCATACTCTGTGCTACTGGGGTGACAGATTCATCTACTGGGATATCTAGCACAAAAGACTTTAATTTCCCAAGTCCCTCAAAACATGTCTTATATTTCTTCACAAGTTCATCAGTCCCTAACTGTTCTATTGAGTTTACCTGTAACTGCTGATGGTCGGTATTAATCTTCAAAACACCAAGATCTGTAGCTGACTTGTTTCCAAGAAGTCCTTTACCTGTCTCGCGAACAACTGTGAACTCTGCATCAATTGATCTGGAACCCAGAGACCTGTGTCTGGAAACAACCTATCACATTCATAGATGTTTCACTTCCGTAGATTTTTGTCCGTTTTCCTTGACACGCATTTCACTCGTTTTTGTTTCAGTTCCTTTCCACAATTCCTCATTTATTACATTGCAGCTTGCGCCGGAATCAACTATCAACGAGATATCAGACACGCCGCCAATGTTAACTTGAATTGTTGGTTGTTTACTTTCATCTACCAGAGTAAAAGCATAGTCTGTTTCTACTAAGTGAACATTTGACTTGCCTGTACGTTTTTGACCGTTTCGTGTCGTTTCCTTGTTCCGTTGTTTCGTTTTACAACATTTAGCCAAATGACCGATTTTGTGGCACTCCTTATCCTTGGCAAAACAAGAATGTGAATTCTGTAAGTGTGTTGTGCTTCGATCAGGTTCAGTTCTGCGCTTAGAATGGTGTACTCGATTTACCTCGCCGATACCGCGATAGAACTTCCGGTTTCCGGTCTGTCGATCAGTATCAGTTCTGCGCTTAGAATGGTGTACTCAATTTACCTTGCCGGTACCGCGTGGTGTAGTTGGTGTCCCCTCAATACTAACGGCTTGTTTTTCACTGCTTTCCATAGCCCTTGCAATATTTTGTAGTTGATCCAGGGTTAATTTTTTTTCCATTTTCTAGTAGTTTACGTCTGAGATTGTGAGAATTACACTTCTCGATGACCTGATCCCTTATTTGATCGTGAATATCATTAAAATCAAAGAAGGTTGCTTGTTGTCGTAATCTTGTTATTAACTGATCAATTGTCTCTGATGGTTGTTGTGAAATGTTTCTGAAAATATGTCTCTCATATGGAACGTTGACTTGAGGTATAAAATACTTATCTAGCTGGCTCATGGCTACCGTGTACACCGTTTCGTCCGTGTGCTCACGAGGTTCAATTGCTGGGAAAGTGAAATAAATGTCCTGCATTTGCATTCCACCACAATGTAGCAATAAAGCTTTCTTCTGTACATCTCCAGTTACTCCTTTCCCTTCCACGAAAAGTTCGAAAGCACGCCGCCATTTCTTCCACCTTGCGCCAATTGAAGCTGGGTCAGAATGTCAAATTGTTGAGTTTTCTCACCGGATTACTCAGATTATAACAACGAATTGAATCATCATGGCTGACATCTTTGCTCAGGGAGCATACCATACAACAAGTTGGCAGGGGGGAGAGCAGTTATGAATTATTGAGACACTACAATATGTACTGTAAAATGGCGAGCGGGGGTGTGGTGTCCGTCACCAAGTTAAACTTGAGTCCCTGTATGAATTTTATGGTAGCTAATATCTTACTATACTACAGCAGCCAATATATACAAAAAATAGTGGAGTATCACTACTGCAAAATATAAGCCTACATCAACTAAATACAGTACTGTAACAGAGGTCATTTTTCATCCCAATGCCTCCGCTAGGAATCGAACCCAGAACCCCTGGCTTACTAGTAGGGCTGCAACGATACACTGACCTGACGATACGATACATATTGCGATACTTGCCACACGATACGATACATAAATGATACATATAGGATAAAGGAATAGATTGAACTATATATATGGTTGAACTCGCATATTTCATTGCAATAATAAAACAAATATGCAACACAAATACCTGGCTTAAAAAATGTCTTTCACATTCAAATCATAGGTCTGTGATGATTTACCAATAACTCAATTATCAATTTTTCTGATGGCAACAAAATGACAAACCATAAATAAAGGTTGGGCACATTTAATTCACAAAAATAAACCATACCAATATCTTGAGAAAAATAATAATTAATAATTTTAACAAATATACATTTATACCACAAAATTGATAACAAATTCCCCTTGCAGAAGATGCAATCACGTATATACAAATCAATAGTAATACTATAGAGCAGCCTCTGACGTTCGACGCTGGCAGTCCAAATATAAAAAAGCATTATGCTTGTGAAAGACTTTTCAAGTTGGCTGCACGCCAGCCAAACATGAGGTCTGTGAAGCCGAGTTATTTTTAGCACCTACAGGACTGGTGTCAATGAACCAGTTACGAAAGTTTGTGAAACTGTTGATGTTTTAACTTGATTTGTCCAGGGACGTATGTAACTTATATTTTATGAATAGAAAATATATAAACATTCATCAATGATACACGTATGTACGAATGCTGGTCGTTGCGGTACCTGTAGTGTTTTCTTTCGGGGCTGGATGGACTTGATACAATACCGGATCTAACCGAAGACATCAAGACAACAACACCATTCAAGGTTCCACATGGTATTTCCTTATTTAATAATCACCACACTGCGCATGTCTAGTACATTACACAATAGCAATGATTCACGCCACTTTAACAGTCGTTATCTCTACATTCCCTCCTTTCTTCCACTTGACATATAGTCTTTGTATTTTAAGGGCACTCTAATAATTCGACCAGACTTTCAAACACCATTTTGCTCAGTCTCATTAGTCTTATTTGTGTCCTTTTCGTCATCACTTTTCTCTACTTCGTCTACAAGTTTATCAACAAATTTCGATTTTCGTACAAATCGTGTGCCTCTGACTTGTCCAGTTCTTTTCCTTCCTTGTATCCTTGTGTCTGTCATTATATTTCTTAAGAAATGTCACGTTTCTCCGCACCTGCTCTCCTCCAGCCATTTTCAATTTCACACTATTACCACATTTTTCAACGACTTTTGCTGGTTGGGAATAAAATGTAGTGGACATTTTATTTTCGCGCGGCTGTTTCACTAGCACCTTATCGCCTACTTTGATTTCACTTTCCTGAGCTCTCCTTTTAGTATCACTATACAGTTTTCCTGCTGTTTCCTCTCTTTGTCACGGTCTCGAACCTCGATATCCAATGATGTTGACGTACGGTACTCCTGCAAATCAGGAATTTTCGACCTGATTTTCCTGCTGAAAAGCAATTCTGCTGGACTGACTCCTGTGATAGAATGCGGTGTGGAACGATACATTAACAAGTAAGGTTGAAGTTCCTCTCGCCAGTCCTTCCCTTCGGTCTGAGCGATTCGAATCCGTTTGAGTGAACGATTTTGACGTTCCACCTTGCCATTAGCTTGAGGCCACAGTGGGGTTGTGGAATGATGTTCAATACCATTCTGTGCGAGATACTCGTTAAACACCTCACTGCGAAACTGAGGACCATTATCAGTTGTTACACTGATAGGATTTCCATGCGTACAAAATATTCCTTTGAACATTTTGTTGGTTTTCTCTGCCGTTGTCGACTTAGTTGTGACAACCTCAACCCATCTAGAATAATAGTCTACAAACACGAGAAGATAATCTCATGACGGCAATCCAAAGTAGTCTACAGCGAAGTGTTGCCATGGTCCCGACGGAAATTCTGTTCTACTCATGGGTTCCGGTCTCGACGGGGTACTGACTAACTGACATCCATGACAGCTGTTGCAAAACTGTTCTATGTCCTTTTCCATTTTAGGCAACCATACTTTTATGCGCAAGCGTTGCTTCATTAGAACAATTCCGGGATGCCCTTCATGACCTAATTCTAGAATTTGCTGATATAGTGGTCTAGGCATCACTATTCTGGTACCACGCAAGACGATATTACCTACACAATATAGTTCCTCTTTCATCAGAAGATAGTTTTTGTTTTGTAACTTATCCCAGTTACCACTCAACAAACATGCTCTGATATTCTGTAGGTCCGCATCTTTTAATGATTCCTCCTCAATTTCCTGTGTTGTCATGGCCATTGGAACACTAGATTGAACAACAAACCTTACGTACTCTTCAGTTTTGTCATGGCGCAACGGTTCTCCTTCAACCTTACCCAGTAATCGAGACAAGGAGTCTGCAATGTTCTTCACCCCTGAAATGTAACGTGTGGTATAGGTGTAGGGTTGGAGCCTTAAAACCCATCTTTCCACTCTCGCACAGGGTTAAGACTTGTCCGAAAAGATGTATTGCAACGGTTTGTGGTCAGTGACGAGCTCAAACTGGATACTGTA